CTATCGCTCGCACGACAAGCGCTCTCGCAGAAGTGCAGAACAATCTCTGCATGTTGCACAATTTTTGGACCGCCGCGTCGGCAACATGCCGTTCGTTCTTGACCACCAATACCAACATAACGCAGCAAGACGCAACTCATTTAGGGCAGACTTGGAAGGAGTGGCAGGAAGAAATTCGATGTGCAAATGTTTCCATCGCGAAATCGTTGGATGCGGGTGCCGTCGAACCTGCTGCGCCTCCGGTTTCGCCACCCGCGCCTGCACCTCCATTTGCGTCTCATACTTACCGACGACAGCAGCGTCGTCGGGGATCATCCAAGTCGGACGCGTCTCTTCCCGCCTCTCTCCCACGGAAAATGAGCGGGTTAGACGACGACGGAGTATCTAGAACATGTTGGGGATTTTCTTTTCGGAGGAAATGAGGTTTATTCTTTTCATTATCGCGGTAGATAACCTTATGAAATAACATAATGCAAGAGATTTTTTTTTTTTTTTTTGCATTGACAAAGTTAGATTAGTCAAGGGATGTCATGAGCCGTCGGCACTTTTTGCGACCCACCGCGATTCGGCTTTGAGTGCTGAGCGCTGCCTACCGGGATGTGGAGGTCTTGCACATCCATGGTAGCCATTTTCGCCAGCCCGATGTCAAGGAGCATCCTCGTATGTCCAAGTCAACACCTACATTCGCTCCATTCTTTTTACATCTCTTCAATAGCGGGCATCCAACTTGCACCGTGGACTGGCTACTCATTTAGCACGTGCATCTGCCTCTGCTGCTGCCCTCAATCCTCAACTGCCGCCGCCCCCGACAACAGTGCGGTCGGTCCCCGAGGTCCTATCCGATGACCTTCCCATGATAAGCATGGATGGCCGGAAGGTCGCGGTGGGCTGGGACACGCGAACGTGGTCTCGCTTGTACGCATTAGACTCTTATAAGTTCGTATCGTTTTGCTCAGGATCAACAGCCACAATATCTGGTTGCGGGACCATTGTCGGTGTCCAGAATGCTATCACAGTATCACGAAACAGCGTTTGCTCAACACTTTCGAGGTCAGCACTCTCTATTCCTCTTTGTATGGTCCTTACCGATCCCAGATACCCCCTGATATAACGCCCACCCAAGCCGAGCCAACCGCGGACGGCCTTCAAGTGTCATGTATGAAATATCCTCTCTTCCGCGTTTACCCTCGATCATCGTTACCAGGGCCTTCTTCAAAACCGCACATATCGCTTTATCCGTGGTCATGGCTGCAACAAAATTCTTATGACCCGCCTCTTCGACACAGAGAGACTCAGTCCGAGTGAGCGTGTTATTACACGCTCGAGCAATTGTCTCATCACGTCCCAGAAAAATCATGTGGAGTTCAAAAATTCAAGCTTCACCTCCCACAATAACGTACGAGGAGGCAATGGCGGAGGATGACCGTGGACTCTACAAATGGCTCTCGCATGTTGCAAGTACATGACAGATATTTTTTCTTCGATCTAATGTATCTCAGGATCATTTCGGAATGTGCTTCATTTCTGGTGTACCGCCAACGCCTGAGGCCACCGAGGAATTGTCCAAGCGCATAGGTTTTATACGCGAAACCCAATGTAGTCTCATGTTATCCCGTCATTTGGTATTCTATTCTGATTAACACTTTGCCAGACGGCAAATTTTGGGACTTCACTTCCGATTTGGCAAAGGGCGACACGGCATACACCACATTAGCGCTGGGCGCGCACACGGACAACACGTATTATGTGAGCTCCGTTATTTGTCTTGCCTACGAATTTAATTATCACCGTAGACCGACCCTTGTGGCCTCCAACTATTCCACCTTCTTTCGCACACCGAGGGGTCTGGTGGTTCATCGTTGCTTGTTGACGGCTTTTACGTCGCCTCCATCCTCAAGGAGCTACACCCTGATGCGTACTCCATCCTCGCCCGCACCCCTGTCCCTGCGCATGCCGCCGGTGAACCGTCTGCACTCTACCGGCCTTACCCCACCTCGGGATATCCGGTGCTCGGCCACGATCCAGTCACCGGGGAACTCATCCAAGTGCGATGGAACAACGACGACCGGAGCGTCATGAATAATCTGGATCCCTATCAGGTTGAGGAGTGGTATAATGCCATCCGAATCTGGCACCAGCTCCTCACGAGTGCAGACTCCGAATACTGGGTTCCACTGGGTCCGGGGACCGCCGTTAGTGCGTATACAACGTCCCTTGCCGTTTCAACAGCTTATATTTTGTTCCTAGTTGTTGACAATCACCGTGTCCTACACGGTCGTTCCGCTTTCACGGGCAAACGACGCATGTGCGGCGCCTATATCGGCGTTGACGAATACCGTTCCAAGCTTGCTGTTTTGCGCGAAAAGTTTGCTTCAGGTCCCAATGATGCTTCCTCTCCGGAAGCGGGGCGAAGCGTATGGAGCCCTGCTCTCTAATTGTCTTATGTTTTCGTTGCTGAACTCTCATATGTACCACTACGACATTATTTTACTTATATCGCCTCACTTAGTGTAAACGTTGTTGCTCTATGTACATCCCGTGTAACCTCACTGTTCCTTCCAGACTATAAAAAAGGAGGCCCTATTTGATACAAAAATACTACGAAAACATTTCAATACTTTTCGCACGCTGGCGCGCGCCTTCACGCGGCGGTCTGCGCCTCTGCGGCCTGAATCTCCTTCAAAATAAACCCCTCCAACCCTCCGCACACCCAGAGCTCCTGTACGCTTGCGCCCACGGGTTTTACGGTGTAAACCTTTTCCGTCAAGCCTTGGGTTAGCACGACCCGACCATCGACCATCCCTACAGCGACGTGCAACCCCCGATCCACGGTCAGCTCGCCCTGAAGGCCCCCAGCACCGTGCGCGCCACCCTTCGCGTAGTTCTGGGTCAAATCCGCTACGAGCTCGGGGCACTCCAAGCACACGAGCCCGTTGTTGATCGCGTTCCGCTTGAATATGTCGCCAAACGAGCCCGCGATCACCACAGGGATCCCGGCGGCTTTGAGCGCCGTGGCGGCCTGCTCGCGCGAGGAGCCCGTGCCAAAGTTATATCCCGACACCAGTATCACGCCCGCCGCTGTTTCGCTGTCGCGCGAAAACTGTTTGGCCGACAGCGAGGCGACGAGCGGCGCAAAGCCCGGATCGTAGTTCTCCATGACCACTTCCGCCTGCCGCCGGAGGGTTATGTCGTCCTGGTATGTGTATTTACCGGGATATATGGCATCCGTGTTGAGGTTGTCTTGTGGGACGAATATAAGAGGGCCAGCGAAGGATTCAGGGAATCCGGGCAAGACGGGGTCGTTCGCTTGTGAAGCGGGAACGGTAGATGCGGACGGCTGGTTCGATATAGAGAAAGTAGGCGTATTTACAGAGGGGAGGACAGAGGGATCGAGGGAAGCAGGACCGCAAATGTACCCCTTGATCGCGCTCGCTGCAACGACGGCCGGACTAGCCAGGTAGGCTAAGGCCTTCGGATGGCCCATCCGTCCCTTGTAATTGCGGTTGGTGGCACTGATACCTGTTTGGCCCTCTTCCAGCAACCCGGTCCCCAGTCCAATGCATGGGCCGCACCCAGCTGGGAGGACTTTGGCGCCGGAATGAACCAATGCGTCCCAGTCACCGAGCCTCTCGGACTCTAGCTGGACAACAGAGCTGGCGGCAGCGATGTAAAACTCGACGCCAGGCGCAACCTTGTTTCCGCGCATTACCGCGGCGGCAGCGGCAATATCGGAGACTCGAGAATTGGTGCAGCTCACGAGGTAAGCTTTCTGGATCGCAACCCGCGACTCTTCGAGGACAGGAAGAGGAGTGGATATTTTGACGCTGTTGGGACCAGAGACATGGGGGACAAGCGTCGAGAGATCGAATATCAGATGTGATGAGTATGATGCATCGGAGTCCGACTGTAGATTAGCAGAACGAAGGGCATCGAGGCGACGACGATGAATACGAGGATGTTCAGGTGGGGGTGGGATTAGAGATGCCAATTCAGGCGACGAAAATGTCCGAAGGTCGAGTTTGGCCAGGACACGGTCGTACCACTGCAGAAGTGTCTCGTCCACCGGGAACACGCCGACCAGGGCTCCCCACTCGGTCGTCATGTTGGCTATGGTGAGCCGTTCATCGACGCTCAAGGTCGCTACTCCGTCACCGGTGAACTCTATGGCAGCATTGAGAACCTCGTCGTTGTTGAACGAGCTACACAATGCAACAATGACATCCTTGCCCGTTACACCCGGAGCGAGCTTTCCTCTTAACTCCACCTTGACCATGCGCGGAACTTGCCACCAAGTCTTGCCAGTCGCCCAGAGAGCAGCTGCGTCTGTGCGGACGATGGGTGTTCCCACACATCCCACACCCCCATACATGTTGCTGTGGCTATCGCTTGCAACAGTGAGGGTGTGCGGGAAGGCGTAGCCTTCTTCAACCAGAACTTGGTGACCAATTCCCCGTCCCGCAGGATAGAAATCAATTTGGTGCTGACGCGCAAATTCTTCAATCGACGCGTATTTCGAGAGGTTCTTCGAGGAACGGTTTTGCACGTCGTGGTCCAGCGTGAATACCGGTTGTATGGGGTTCTGGATTCGAGTTGCGCCAATCGACTTGAACCTAGAGATGCATGTGGCAGATTTCAAGGCCAAAACAGACGAGGACGTACTTCGATATGACTGGGCCAGTATTGTCGTGGGTCATGACATGCTCGGGGCGTATCATAACATAGTCCCCGGCCTTGACTGTCTTGCCCGCAGGGAGTCCAACAGCGTACTTTTGAACGACCTTTTCGATGACAGTCTGGGGGACGCGAGGGCCCGCGCCGACAGTGGTAGCGAAACCACGGGCTCGGGCCCATCGACCAAGATGGCGGGAGTACATGGCAAAGCTGCGAACCAACCAAATTTTTGTTATTCCGAGTCCGCGATCACAACCCTAAAATGTAGTTATCACATTTTTCCTCGACTCCTTCTCAGACTACATGCAATCTTCTCACTGCTGCTCGTCGCATCAGTGGTGTAGCGGTAACATTGGGTCTTCCCATTGGGTAATCTAGACTGGCCTAGCTCCGGGTTCGACTCCCGGCTGATGCATTTTGAGCTCAACTTTGTTTTTTCGAGCGCAGACATGCGATAGTAACCTAGCATTTACGTCTTCTTCGTTCCCAAAAATATCTGCCCGATTTATTATTTGTACTCCTCAATAACAGAACGGGGTGTTAGGTATTCCGCCAGAGGTACGAATTTGTAGCGAAACCTATTAAAAATGTTAGTAGGGTGCATCAGAAAGTCTGATTGTTGTACCCAAATGCAGCAGGCCCTCCACTTTCCAGCCCTGCCTCTGAATGCCAAAGTGGACATCCGGCCATCGCAATGACTGCGACACGAAGACCGTATCTGTCTATTGCGACGGAGAAAAAAGTCAGATTCCATAGCATCACTTGTCCACATACTCACAATCTTGTGATCCCAAGTTCGATCCACTTTGGGAATCCAACACTGAAATCAGGTCGGGAACAATGGCTGCGAGCTGGACAAATTTTCCAGCATCAGTGCAGGTAGAGATACACACATATATACCTTTCTAGTCCCATCCTCTTGCTCAATAAAGGCGCACAAATTCTCATTTTGGAACGGAATGACCATGTGGCCAACGGGATTAACGACCCCGGGTGTTCCCACAGGGCTTTCGAGTTCTTCGTCAAGTAATGGGGCGATTCGAATTTCTCCCCAGGTGAACCCCGCACGGACTTCCTGCGAGAACCGTTCAGAGACGCTCATGGTTTTTTTGTACAGACTTGCCCGCGAGCAGCTGATGATCTTGCCAACAAAGAGACAGGCCCCATTTTGCAGCTGCAGTATTGCATCCGGGACACCCTTCATGTTACTGTATGAAACATCCAGTTAAATTGGAAATCCGGAAACGAGATCTTACTTGGTTTGCCGACAAATTGAGATAGCTCGTCCTATTCTCCACGCTTGACTTTGTGTACGTGGTATCCCATAGTCTCGGGCGTCACTGACTGCAAGCGGAGGGCAGCACAGAGCCGCGCGAGACCCCATTTCAGTGGTCACGGTGCGCATCAGCGTTTCAACCACATGTTCATTTTTGACTTTGGTAAGCAGGATTACATTCCCGTCTGAGAACGCGGTCAACGGCGCTTTCAATGTACATGATGAACATACTTACCCCCATCACACAAAGCAGCAGGAGTGAGGCTATGATAAAGGTTTATCATGGAAGGAGATAGGTTAGGAAGTACATACGCGTTGGGTCGATTGTACACGGCTGGGAACAGGGCGGTCAAAAGCTAACGTCACTGACGTCTCGAACAATACAGACCTGGTAGAATTTGGTTGAGTTTCGGATACGCTAAAGCACTTGCATAAGCTCGTCTTTTTCCAGTTGTACCGGAGGACGCACCGCGACCCATAAGATCACCATCGAAAGCCGGTATTCCGTAGACACCGGACATGATCAACGACTGCATACCGTTACTACCACCGATTTCGTCACTTGTAGCCAGTTCAGTGGATGCTCACCTCATTAATTGTCTTCCTCGACTCACCACAGTGTCGCGGCCAAACTGGTCACCCCACAGAACTTGGCGAGCTCGGTGTTAGCTTCGAAAATAGAGGTGCACGGCATTAAGCGTTCGGAACCGACTGAAGGTGAACCCATGTAGCCTTGTGCGTAAAAGTAAGCCTCCCTATGCGCTGAACTCGCAGGAGACGTTTATACCGCCACGAACGAGGGCCGCGTCATCTGCCAGTGACGAATGGTCGACGATTCGAAGTAGTTTACCCTCCCTTAGCATTTGCCTTGTCCTCAAGTATGCCGGGTATGGGTTCCCACCTCCGCCCTATAGCATCAGTTTAGGCAATAGGAACATAAGAACCGAAGTCAGGAAAACCAACTGTCCCAAGCACCCCACATCCTTCCTGAATGAAGACTGGCCGGATAGACATGAAGCGCGGCGGAGCGTCACCAATTAACAACTCACACAAATCGGTCTCGCTTAGAATCCACTCATTGCCCACAATCTTAGGTCTATATGACTGATAATCGATCGGAGCTGCCCCATCGCCCCCATCCAAAACAATCTCTTGGGGCAATTCGGGTTCTTCTACCTCGGGATGATCTGCACGGTTAACTGGCGGCATCTGGGACTCGCGAATTCCAAGCTCTCCGACAGCCCGTACGATAATCCGTGTGGCCTGATTGGTAACATACTGCAAGCACGCAAGTGAGAAGGCACGACCACGAAAGAGATGGACAAAAACCTGGACAGGGAGGATGTCAATCTCGGCAATGGAAACAGTGGCAGGTTCAGCTCCGGCGACAACAGCCTTCTCGATGGCAAGTGTTTTGATACCTTCTAATACGTCGGGGAGTTTCTTTCCTTCTAATATTTCAATGGTATCGATGTCGCCAGAAACATTAGCGATCGCAGCGCCAACAGCATTCGCGACGCAGTGGAACGGTGGGAGACTGGGTGTACCGGAATGAATTGAGGTAAAGGAGCCAGTCGCAGAAGCAGCGTACATGACTTTCTTGACGCCTTTGAGCTCCGGGGGCACAATGATCGAACCGCCACCAACAAGTAGGACTGTGCAATCTTCAGGGTTGGTTTTCATCAAGTCCACTACATTCTGACCGAACGTCAACTGGCTCGGTCTGTAATTCGGACCAAATCGTACAGACCTCGAGCAACTTTTTTATCACCACCTTTGCTTGTGTAACAATTTCATCCGTGACGTCTTCAACTTTCGTCGCGTCGCCAATGCCTCCAGCCCCGGAGCGCACCCAGACGTCGGTGGTTGTCAAAACTTCCCCTCCAAAAACTTTCGCGTCATGAGTCAACTGAGATGAAGCGTGAGCGATAGAGGGATAGCACAGAAGAAACGTACATGATGCCCAACAGAGTCCGGTCCAACAGTTACACGACCGCCGGCAGCCATCTTAACTCTGGATCCTCCGCCCAATCCAATAGAATTGACATCGGGCATCGAAAAACTTGAGTTTCATTAGTCAAGATATGCCACAAAACGTGGGGCCTTACTTCGTTCTAACACCAGCAACTGTGCACGCGTCAGTTCACCGGCATGATAGATCAATCAGACAAACCTTCGATGAACGCAGCTGCTTGACGGGGAAATCCACTAGGAAGAAGTACGCCGACATCTGTCGTTGTACCCCCGACGTCCACCACAATCATGCTCTTTGTTGTCCCTTCCGTTTTCCTGAGATCAATTCCTGCCAGGAATGAGGCACCTTGATGTGTTCCCTATTAACAGGAGAAAACCACCAAAAAGTGTGGAGCATACCGCGCATTGAGTTGGTAGCACCAGATGAGAATGTGCGAACGGGCAGACGCGAAGCATCTGCCGCACTCGTGAGGGTCCCATCGTTCTAAGATCGAACAAAATAAGCGCTTGCTGGAAAACGAGCAGGTTGTCAAACCAACCTGGGTGAGATAGAGGGGGCACACCAGTCCGAGTCGCTTCATGGCGTTCTCGAATCCTCGAATTGTGCGCTGTGCGAATGAGGCAATAGACGCGTTGAGGATGGAGGCATTTTCGCGCTCAATAAAGCCAAGTTGTGCAACTAGGACGTAAAGTCAGCTATATATCGGCTTCAATTCTACGCAAACCGGAGGACCATCACGGGAACAGACAATGTTAATGTCTGGTCCAAGTTCTCGCAGGAGAATATCACGGGCCAAATATTCATTCTGTCCATTCACGTCCAATGGGGAAACTAAGAGAAGCACCTCAGACAAGATATCTTAGGAGTGGGTAAAATCTGACAGATGCCTATGAGCACAATGTCCTTAAGACCCTTGGATTTAATCTGGTGGGCTTGTTCAATAACCTCGGTTTCGTCAACTTTGTTAATTGTGCGACCATCGCTGCAGCAAACGTCAGGATACAATTCAAAAAATTGAAGGCGAAAGAACAGACATCTGCAACCCTCCCTTGATAATTGCGGTATGGCCATTCATGATTGATTCAAGGTGCGGCGGAAAATCGACAAACGATGGATGCTCGAAAGTGTACGGGGCAGCGAGTCGAATGACGGCGACCTTCGATAATCTCCTGGAACGGTGTTCATGAATCGTGTCGTGTGATACTACCTACCTACTTACCTCGAATCAGCTTGCACAACAGCGTTCACGAAATGCTGTTCGATGATTTGGGCAGGCAATTCTCGGCGTGTTATCTATACGCACTGTGGTTCCAATGCTCAAGCTGAGAATCTCTCCGCCCCGTGGATCGACACCGGCGTCGCTCATAATGCGCTTCACGGCGGCTTCAATTCCGTCCGTTACGTTCACGGTGGTTGCATGCTTAGAACTGGCAATGACTCCTCTTGTCAAAGGGTCTGCGGTTTTTGTTATGTCTATTATGACGCCGTCGGTATTCGTGCCTTTCTAAAGGATTCAGAGGATAATTTGTAGGGAACAGTGGATCGCACCTCCTACATCGACGCCGATCCTGTATCGACCTGGAGACATGCTAAGATAGGTGCAGATAAGGAAAATACAATTTGAATCTGATTAACAAGAAGTTGGTAATGTCACAGCCGGCGGCACATGTTTCGAAAGTCTTGGGAAATTCAGCGGGCGTGGGCGATTTGAGACGTCGGGATCGGTGAGCGCAACTGTGTTTACACTTTCAGTCGGAGCGAGCTTGTGCGCAAGAGGGGGGATAAAATAACGGCGGTCAGTCTTGTGCAAGGAGTCAAGATTGGTTCAAGTTGGCCGCGGCCGGCGGCTGGCGGTCCGCGATCTCTTGAGCTGCGATCAGCAACCACCTATTGGAAAAATCGCTCTATCCACAGCAGTCAAGGCGCGGAGCGAGCCAGTATGGACTCGAAGGCGTCCATACCAATTTACGCCGGCCATGCGCGCGTCGGGCGCGCACATTTGCTCGCGTTGTTGGCTGTGATATTATTGGCCTCCAACTTTGTGGCATTCGGTTTCTTCTTCCGGCCTCAGCGGTTGGCGAAGCTCCCGCTGCACGCCGAAACGACCCTTGCGCGGTGCCGCTCCCTTAATGTGAAGCCGGCCCCCCCACCTTCATTCAATCAG